TGTTCTGTTCCCCACTCTGTCTCTGGTGAATCCTGTCACCCCCTGTATCTCTGGTCTGTACCCCAGCTCTTGTATGCATAAATAAATCTTCAAAAAATAAATCAAAAATAAATCTTTAAAAAAAAAATGCTCCTAGCACTTAGAAGTTACTTAATAAACTGTGCCTTTTTCCATCAGGAACTGTCTGTGTGCCCAGAAGGTGTTTGATGAATTGACATCCAGAGATCTGACTGGCATCCGTGGCTGCTTGTTAGAGGGCAGGTGAAGTGAAGGCAGTTCTCTGGGCCTTGATTCAGGGCGAGCTGTCCCTTCCCCCTTTTCCTCCTGAGAGTTGCTCCATGCTGTGCCCCAGAATTGGAAACAGCAGGAATAGACACAGTGCTGGAGCAATAGATCTGGATAAAGGTTTTCCCTTTCCTTTGAGGGCTTTGTCCAATACCCACGAAAATATATTTTCTTCTAAAGCTTTTAGATGGAAACCTTTCTACAGCGGATATTTCAACAAGATGTATGAGTTTGTTATTGCTGTGTAACAAGCCACCCTAGAATGTGGTGGCTGAAAATCACAACTTTTTCTTCCTCACTGTTGGTGGGTTGGTTGGGCAGTTCCTCTGCCGGTTGTACCCCAGCCGTCTTGTGCAGCTGTGGTCAGGCAGGCCCACAGGAGGCCCAAGATGGCGTCACATACAACCTGGCAGGTGGTGCAAGCTCTTGGTAGAGGTGAGCCTCGGCTCCTCTCCCTGTCACCTTTTATCCTCTAGTACACAAGAATAGCTTCCACACTTGGCAATTTTAGAACTGCACAATAGGGCGAAGCAGGGGACTGTAAAACTTCTCAAGGCCTTACCTCAAGAGTCACACAGTATCGCTTTGGCTACATTCTCTTGGTCAGAGCAAGTCACCATGGCAGCTCAGATTCTAAGGGAGGGCACATGGACTCCGCCTGTCTGTTTTTTTCAGGCTGCTCTAACAAAGTGCTGCAGACTGGGCAGCTCAAGCAACAGAAATGTACTGTCCCGTGATTCTGGAGGCTGGGAGTCTGAGACCAAGGTGTGGTCGGTTTCTTCTGAGTCCTTTCTGGCCTGCAGATGGCCACCACCCCCCCGTGTCTATGCAGACTGGTCTTCTCTCTGTGTCTCTGTATCAATATCTCCTCATATGAGCACTCCAGTCAGGTTGGATTAGGGCCCACTTTGGTGACCTCATTTTAACTTAATCACTTCTTTAAAGACACTATCTCCAAACACAGTCACATTCTGTGGTCCTAGAGGTGAGAACTTGCCTGCATGGATTTGGGGGAACATATTTCAGTTCAGAACACACCTTCTTGGGGCCTCCCTGGTGGTGCAAGGGGTTGGGACACAACCTATGAAGCTATCAGCAACCACTGCAGTGCAAGTTTGATCCTCAGCCAGGGAGGTGACCCACATGGTGCAGCGGACCTCTCCTGGCTCGCCTGCTGCTCCCCTCAGCAGTGTATTTCAGTCAGTCTCTGCCTGTTCTGTTCCCCACTCTGTCTCTGGTGAATCTTCTCACCCTCCACACCTCTGGCCTGTACCCCAGTTCTTGTATGCATAAATAAATAAATCTTAAAAAAAAACCACACAACACACCTTGTTGGTGGGAAGAGATGCAACGAAGTCATGGCCATGTTCAATCCACTGCAGATTAAATGTACGGGAGAATACATGTGCCTGACCACACTCAGACAAGCCAACTGCTAGGAATACTACTCCTGCTCTTTTATGACCTGCCCACTGGTGAGAATAAACTCCAACTATAGACCCTGAACCTTCCATATTCAATATCTCTAGCAAACACACATCCTCCCCCTGGGCAGCTGCCTTTCACTATCCGATGCACGGGGGGCTGCAGAAACCTCGCCTGACCCGGCTACCCATCTCCCCAGTTGCTCTATTGGCCTGTACAGGCAGCCTCCCAGAATAGGACAAGCCAGGCTAGCCCCAACTGCCTTCCTCACCTTCCCCCCACCCACAAACCCCCTCCATCCTCCGTCTGGCCTGCCCTGTCCCCCAAGGTGCCTGAAGTGACTTTTTCCAGGGCAGTCTCCCTCAAGAGTGCATCTGCTTGCTCCCACAGCACCTGATTTATACATAGGGGCTGTTGAATAAGCACTTGTAGAACAGAATTGATTTCAGAATTCTTGAGGTGCCCTTAAATCCCTAGCTCAACAATTCCCCTGGGGTCCTCAAATCCCAGTCACAATTCCCAGTGGGGATGCTGAAGTTTTCTTCTCTCAAAGCTTCTCTGGTGCCTAGCGCCCCCCTCCCAGGCCCCTGCCCCTTCCTCCGAATCCATTCCTCACCACACAGAGCCCTTGGAGACTCCGGGTTTTTCACATTGAACCTGACTTTTGCCTGCTATGGCTTAGTGGAATGGTGGTTCTGGAAGAGAGGGTCCTCGAGAGCCTTTCTCATTTCCTGCCTCCACCCCTGCCTCTGCACACACAGCCTGCTGGCAGCCCAGACGTGATACCTCCTTGGACATGGTAGAAGCTGGTTCATCCAGATGAATGAAGCAAGGGATATCAGGAAACAGCCAAAATAGGGATTTTTGATCTCCATGGCCCTTTCTTTTTTTGTTTTTAAGTTGCTGCTTGGCCCTCAGTGGATGTCTTGAAAGCTCTATAAAGGAAGGTCAGCAAGTTTCTGAGACTCCCAGGCCTCAGAGTTACCCCAGAACCCGGGAACGAGGTCAGCCGTGCTAACCACCGCCGTCCTGTGGCCCACAGCTCCTGCCACGCCCAGCAGTTCTGCTGAAACCAGAACGTGTTTTCCACACAGTCTGGCTGGGCAGGCAGGCCTGGGGCAGCAGTGGGCAGCAGCAAGCTAAGGGTGACGTTGGGCCATGGGCCTTTTTAACAAGCCTGCTCTGCTTCGCCCTGTACTCTGAGATGCCTGCTTGGAAATAGACACCTTCTCTGCCCTGGTGGTGAGGCCTCTAAGCCCCGGTGACAGGGGAGTTGAAATTCTCCGGACGGGCGGCTAAAGGTGGCTAAGAATATCCAGCCACAGGCCTGACCACCAGCCAGTGAACGCCCCGCGTGGTGGCTTCCGTGGTCCTTTGGGCATGGGAGGAAGGCGCTGACTGGGCAGCTGGTGCTTAGGGAGTCCCACAACTGGAAGTATGTCGGCTCAGAAGTAAGAATAAGGTAAAGGAACATTCGAAAAAATAAAACAGCCAAACCCATGCTGCCCTCAAGGAATATATAATCAGAGGAGGGAGGACATCGACCTGCCACAAGGGACTTACTGTGTGTAACAGATAAAAGCAGACAGAGGGGACCAGAGACTGAGGCTGCAAGTGCCAAGAGGGAGCGCACCCTAGCTTCTGGCAGAGCTCGTGGCCTGGTAGCTGGCCACCCGCCAGGAGCCCAGGACGTATCCCTGCTCTTGCCTTCAGTTTCTGCAAATGCAAAGTGAGGGCTTTGGATCATTGTTTCATTCGTGTTTTTTTTGTTTTTTGTTTTTTGTTTTTTTTTGAGGATCAGGTCTCAGACCCCCTGGGACTTTGATGTGTGCACTCCCAGAAAAATGGGCACATGTACCGCCACCATCATTTTCACGCCATTTCAAGGGCATGCCTGGTCTCAAGCAGACCACCCAAGGATCTCAAGTGAAGGTCCTGCGGGGAAGGAAGTGTTCTTGCAGTTCTGGAGAGGGCTGGGAAAAAATTTGTTAGCCTATGACCAAGGGGCACCCAGGAACTCCAAACTGTTGAGGGGTGTATACGCTAAAGGGATCCAGCCATCCATGTGCACAAAAGCAAAGGAAACAGACTCTTACTGTGAAAGATCTTTAATAAAATTATTGTACAAGAGAAAGAAGATATCCCTAATGATAGTTTCCCAGTAAAACTCCCCAAAGTACCCATCCCCTGTGGGCAAATACCCAGCCAAACAGTTGGCCCAAAGTGGGACCTCTGAGGCTTGAAAGCTTGCCGCAAGTACAAGGCACCTTCTGGAAGGGAGCAGCAATAAAGGGGTGAGGCAGGTCTGGAACAAAGAAGCAAAAGACAATGTAAGATCAAGATAATGGCCACCACTGTCTCTGCCTACTTGTCTCTTACCCACTTGTCTCAAATGTCTCTACATGTCTCCTCCAAGTTTCCTATCTAGCAGTACCAGTGTGCAAGTCAAAGCCAGAGAAGCAAGAGCCCCAAACCACCCACCTTCCGTGTTATATAGCTTCACCTGGCTGCTCAGCTCCGCCCCTAGTTCCCAGTAGCTCCCCCAATCAGGAAGTCCAGTTCATGGCATACTGCGACCCGCGATCCAAGACAAGTGTATCTAAGTGGGGGTGGGGAAAATGGCACCTGTTCATGGCACCGATGCCCCTCCCCCTTTTATGGAGATGTATTCTCTATCAAATTCACAGAGAAAGTAGGATGGGGGCCTCTCTGGTGGCTCAGGGGTTAAAGATACAGCACTATCAAGCTATCAGCAGCCACTCCAATCAGAGTTCGATCCCCGGCCAGGGAAGTGGCCTACATGGCGACCTCTCCTGTCTCGCCCGCTGCTCCCCTCAGCAGTGTATCTAGGTAGATCTGCCTTTTCTGCTCCCCACTCTGTCTCTGGTGAATCTTCTCACCTACCCACCCCCGCACCTCTGGCCTGTACCCCAGTTCTCTTACATATAAGTAAATAAATCTTTTTAAAATGTATGTATTTATGTATGCATACAAGAACAGGGGTACAGGCCAGAGGTTGGGGGTGGTGGTGAGAGGATTCACCAGAGACAGAGTGGGGAGTAGAACAGGTGGATCTACTGAAAGGAGGGGATCTACTGCTGAGGGGAGCAACAGGCGAGACAGGAGAGGTCTGCCGCGCCATGTGGGTCACCTCCCTGGCTGGGGATCGAACCCATGCTTCAGTGACTGTAGCTAGCTTCACAGTGCTGAGACTTAACCCCTTGCACCACTAGGGAGGCCCCCATAAATAAATCTTAAAAAACAAAAAAAGAATGTAGTATGGAAGGAGAGACAAAACTGAAATAGTTACTCCTTCGTTCAACCAATGCAAGGAGTGTCAACTGTGAGTGAGCAAGCACAATGGATGTAGCTGCAAAGAAAACACAGGGGTCCTGGGCCTTCTGGGGCTGCCAATCTAGCTGGAGAAGCAGCCCGCTTGGCTCCCGCCATACAGTCTGCCTTTCTGGTTCAAGGTTCAGTTCAAATAGTTCAAGGTCAGTCCTACTTCAGGGGCTATGCACTTGCTCTTTGGCTGCGCTCTTTCTCCCAGACATAGAACTGACTCCTTCTCAGCTCAAAAGTCATTTCCTGAAATGTGGCCTCCCTGGCCATCCAGGCTGAAGGTGCCCCACCCTCTCACCACTTGCAGCCACACTGCCCTGTTTCGTCTTCGGAATGGCATATCATCAGCATATCATCATCTGAAGTTATCTTCTTTATTTGCTTTCTGTTTATGACTCCCATAGGATAGGGACCTTGTCCGTCCTGTTCTCCATGGTGCCCTGGCACCCAGGCCAGTGCTTGGCACAGAGTAAACACCTGTCAGAGATGTGATGAACCAAATGAACTAATTATAGACTTAATGATAGATTGCTGTGAACCGGGGAGGCCTGTGCTATTCGGGAAGGGCAGGGTGGTTTCAGAGGTGAAGCTGGGGGGACTAGCCTGCTTCAGAAAAGGTATCTTGGGGCCTCCCTGGTGGCACAGGGGAAGGGGATGCAGCCTATGGGGCTGTCCACAGCTGCTGCAGCGCGGGTTCGGTCCCTGGCCAGGGGGCTGCCCACGTGGCGCAGCAGACCTCTCCTGTCTCACCCGCTGCTCCCCTCAGCAGTGTGTTTCGGTCATTCTGCCTGTTCTGTTCCCCGCTCTGTGTCTGGTGAATCCTCTCTCCCCCTCCCCCACAGCTCTGGCCTGTACCCCAGTTCTTGTATGCATGAATAAATAAATCTTTTAAAAAAGAAAAGAAAAGAAAAGGTATCTTGGAGGAAGTGCTATTTCGATAGATCACTGAATGGCTAGACAAAGCAGAGGGAAGATGGATCCAGGGCAGGTCCTGGGAAGGCCCCAATATAGGAAGGGCTGGAAATAGAAGCTAAGAGCAAAGATCTGAAGGGCAGGGCCTGGTGGGCTGACTGAGGGTTTTCATCTGTATTTTTATTTATTTTTTAATTGTTTTTCCTCCCACCACCCTTTATACCCCTTTGACCCTTCCCCCCACCCCACCCTTCTCATCTCAGAAAACTTGCTTCATTAGTGTCCACTAGTTTTTTAAAGTATTTTGCTTTGTCGAATCATCAGCTATGTCAACATCCAGTATTTGTCTTTCTCATTTTGACTTGCTTTACCACAAAAAATTCCCTTGAGCTCCTTCCATGTTGCTGTAAATGGTAACATTTCATCTTTCCTTATGGCTGGAGAGAGTTCCATCGTGTGGACATACTGCATCTTCTTAATCCAATCCTCTAGCAGGGGGGCCACTTAGGTTGTTTGAGTTTTTGTCTTTGTCTCAGTAGCGAAAGGCTAAAGTAGCTCTGGCTAAAGAACCGCCTCCATTACCTTTCTGATTGCTCCTCTTCTTGCCTCACACTCTAGCCACCAGAAGCCTGGTTGTTCCTTATACACAGCAGGGACTGTCCTGCCACAGGGCACTTGCACTGGCTATGCCTCTGCCTGGAACACTGTTCCTCCTCTTGGAATTCTCTTGGCTCACTCCCTCACCTCCTCTGAGTCTTCGCTCACATCTCACCTTCACAAACAGGCCTCCCCTAACCACCCCCTGGATTCTGCAGCCTTCCCTCCACCCCTTGCCCTTCTGATGCCCCTTACCTACTCCTACTTTTCTTTCCATGGCACATATCATGGTCTATGATCTGAGGTAATTTTATGACCTGTTACCTTTGTTGTTACCGTCCTTCTCTCTCCTGCTGGAACATAAGCACCTCGAAGGCAGGCATCAATTTTGTTCCCCAGGGTGTGCCCAGTGCTGGAGGCACTGGAACCCTATAGCAGTGGGTATTTCTGTGGATAGTGGCTGCTGTTGGCTGCTGTGCAGGAACTGGTTGCAGAGCGTCAAGAGCAGATGAGGAGACCAGTGAGGAGGTCATTGCCGTAACTTCGGTGAGGCGTGCTGGGCAAATGCTGCACGCAGAGGGAAATGGATGGCTCCCAGAACTGTGCAGAGGGAGCAAAACCGGATTACAGATGAGTCAGGTTGGAAGGGTGACGTGGTCAGAGAGGTCAAACGTGGTTCCCAGGTTCCTAGACTGCATTTTTTGCATAACTGCTTGTTTGGTCCAAGTGGCTGGTGGGGAGCAGGGAGAAGAAGCAGGTTTAGGGAAAGAAAAGGAGAAGGGGTTTCCTGGATGGGAAGATGCAAGGACAACAATGGGGAGAGCTGTGCCTGTTTAGAGGATGGAGAAAAATCCAGTTTGGTTTGAGTGGAAGGAAGTTTCTGCAAAGGACAGGAAAGACAGGAGGAAAGACAGGATATGGGACCTCACCAACCGCTAGTGCTGTCTACTTTTCCCTCTGGGTCTGGGGCCATGGGCAGGGTGGCTGAGAAACCTCTAGCTAAACATGGCATGTCTACCTGGCACAGCACTCCCAGCTTTGCTTCAGTTCACGTGATTGTAACCTAAGCTTCCTAGCTGTCTCTAGAACCACCTCCCTGTCCACCCCTCATGCCCCCAGTCCACCCAGAGTGCCCATACTCTCTTGCAGTGAGGTCTCCTTCCTAGGGAGCTTGCATACAGTTTTAAGCCTTATCCTTCCCCAGTTTATGTATTTTTTATTTATTAGATTTTTTATTTCGCTAACATTTTATTGAGGTGCAGCACACAGACAGAAAAGTGCATAAATCCTAAGCATACAGCTTGATGAATTTTCACAAGCTGAGCACACCCGTGTAACCAGCATCTGGATCAAGATGCAGCAGAGGCCCAGTCTCCCAGATTTCCCGTACGGTCCCCCTCCTTCCACATTAGCCCTTCTGCCGGCTTCTGACACCTTAGCTTGGCTTTGCCCACTCGAAAACTTGCTGTGAATGGCATCCTATTGTGCATAGGATGTGAGGCCAACTTCCTCTGTGTGACATTTCTTTTGCAGGATGTGTCCAAGTCATTTCGTGTGCTGGCATTTTAAAAAAACAGTCTTCCCAGCAGTCTCCCATTTGAGGCAAGCCATGAGGACTGAACTTCCATGGCCCACTCTGTCCTGAGGAATGTTCAGGAAAAACTTGAAGAAGCCCTAGGGGTGGGGGTGGAGGGTCCATGGAGACTGGGGATTGGAAGAGGGACAACATCCGCATTTTACTGAAATGATAGAGTAAGCAGTGTTCAGGTGCTGCAGGGGATGAAAACACGGAAGATGTGGGTATAGGGTTTGCTGGGAAGGTGAGACTGAATCAAAAGAACAGGCCAAGCTCAAAGAGGTCCTGCACTACTAGAAGAGGAAAGAAAGTAGCTCACTCCTGAGGGAGGGGAGAAGAGAGAAGGTCTAGAGGGAAATGACTCGCTGCCTCCCAAAAGGTTAGCCTCCCTGATACCCTGCGACTCTTCTGGGAGCCTCTCTTGGGCTAAAGATTGGTCCTTGACTTGGGGGAAAACACAATTCAAGTTCAGTTGTTCTAGTACCTCAGGAAGATTTTTCAGTGGGGGGGGGCAAGGAGGGAGAGAGCACACGCATGCATGTTTCTCTGGCACCCATTTCTCTAGTGGTCATTCTTGGGGGCCTGTGCCACCTGGGGAGCACTGGCTTCAGCCTGCTAGATGGCGGGAGAGGACGGGAGGGAAGGAGGGAGGAAGGAGGGGGCCTCAGTCGTTGGCAGAGACATTGAAAAATTTCAGATCAAATTCCAGAGAGGGTGAGTGACTTGCCCAAGGTCACACACCAAGGGAGCCGGCTTTAGAAACCAGGTCTCTTGTTCCCGCCTTCCAAGGTTCTTTCCATTACAGCGCACCACCCCCTCGGCTCACAAAGAGCTTAGTGTTGCCACCAAAAGAGCTGAATTACCTCATTTTCGAAAGGCGTTATGAATCCAGTTCCATTATGTGGACTGGGGCAGAGCTGTTGCGAGCATCATAACTCCCGTTCCACTTCTATTTATCTTCGCTGGGTGTTGTGTATCTTTGCAAGCAGCCGAAAATCATTATAGGAACAAAGTAGGGAGAAAAATAATAATATATAATTATAAATAAGGAAGAGACCATAAGATGCTATTAATTGCTTTCCCTGCAAGCCTTATTTTTGGTATTTTCGGAAGAATTAAAAGCTAGGCTCCCACTGGTGGAAGTGGCGGGTTAGCACGGAGCCCCCTACAGCCACATCACCTACGCCAGGAGCGGCTCGGTGCCATCGGCCGCCTGGGACGCTTTCTGAGTAACACCAGGGCTGTGCTCCAGCCTCTGAGTATTTACTCTCTTCGGAGGAGAAACTCTGGCAACGGCTGTAAAATAAACCCCAAAGCAAGGAAGAAGCTGAAAAGAGGAAATAGTCGGTGGCGCATTAATCATAGTCGGCAGTCCTAGAGCAGAGGAGAGAGGCTGGTTCGAGGAAAGACAGAACCTAAATTATCTTGGAGATTGATCTTCCCTCCTCCGCACTCCCTGTGCCAGCAAACAGGTCAGAAAGGTCCGGGTGCAGCCACTGGCATTGAAGCGGCAGAGCATCCACCAACTGGCCAGCGTGCTGGGCGAAGAGAGCAGGGCAGGGATTACCACACTCTGTTGTGGGGATCAGACCAGAGCTCCTGCTCGCCCTGAAAGGGTAACAGCTTGGAAGGCTGCAGAAGAGGAGAGGCATCTCAGAGGGACCTGCGGGACAAACTCACTGCTGTCATGTCCTCAGGGGACATCATTTGCATGCCAGGATATAGGAAAGGCCATTTCCTTCAGATCTGAATAAAGCACCCAATTATGATGAGTTGTGGAATTGGCAGGGTAATGAAGCTGACCACAGGTGCCTGGAAAGACTGAAAGTCTGTGTGGATTAAAGTTTGGGCTCTAGGAATTGGGCAATGAGTGCCCAGGCAGGCAGGCCGGCAGGCAGGCAGGGTAATTATCCTCCCAGCCTCAGTTTCCATGTGCAATGGGGATAATGATAGTACCTTTATTATAGGATAGTTTTCTATATGAAATGAGATTATAAATGTATATAAAGCGTTCAGAACTGTGCCTGGCAGATAGCAAGCTCTTAATAAATCCTAACTATTGTTCTTCTAAGAGCTGAACAAAAGCTAATGACTCCCCTGCCCCCAAATCTCAAGAGCTGTCCAGTGTCAGAAGGGCTGCGTGGAAAGTTCTTCCCATTGCATCTCTTCCCTGCTCTCGCTCTGCCCTCAGTAACAGCAAAGTAATCTTTACTGAGTTCAGAACAGGGGAAAACATTGTCTGGAAGTATGAAAGAGCAAGGTGGCTTAGACTGTCACCAAACCCGGAGCCATAGTGAAGCATTGGTGGCGGTGCAGAGACCTTCCACACAGAGCTGGGAATCTTGTTCTGGGAAGGCAGTCTTTCCCCTGACCTTGGCCCCATGGTTTCTGAAAGCTTACCTGGGAGGAAGACAACTCTTCATTCAGATGAGAAATTCTTAGGTTCCCCTGGTGAGTACGACAGATCAGCTGAGACCTGCTGATCCCAGGAAGAAACAAACTCCTTTTCAGATATTTACTGTACTTGGCGAGTTGCCAGAACGACCCCAGGAGGACATTATTAGAGAAGCTATGTAGGCTCTGACCCCAGAAATAGTTGAAGGTATGGGGGAAACACTGCATGTGCATGGGAGCAGACACTATACTCTCCTGAAAAGGGCCCAGGCTTGAGGCAGGTAGAATCCCTGTCGTCAAAGTCAGTTAGATTAGGGGTGTATTTGGGGGCAGGGTGGAGTGGGGAGCAACTGTAAGAGCATCTATTTCCTCAATTCTAAAATGAGAATCGTAATACCTAACCCATAGGGTTATTTTGGGGCTTACCTGAGGTAACTTGAAAATGTATTTAATAAAGTAACTAAAAAAGAGCCAAAGGCCCTTGATAAACAGTAGCTATTTTTATCATGTAAGAATTATTCATAGTTAAAAAAGACTTGCTTTGCTACCAAATACACTGTAGCGACACAGTTACTATGAGAAGTCAAATGGCTTGGGAAGGAAAGAATAGCAAGTGCCCAAGGTCAATTCTGACTTCAACCCACTCTTCTGGTGACAGAGGGTCTTGAGAAGAAACAGTTTTGATCTTTTGCCTCCAAGTAAGGAGGACCAAATGGTTGGCAAGAGGCAAAGTGCTGTCAGGAGGCTCTCGTATTCTGAGCAAGGATAGGCCATCTGAGGCCTCCCCCTAGCACGCACACTCATAACCTTGACTCCTCTGACAAAGACCTGTATACATGCTCTCAAGGGCCTCCCTCGGACCTCCCCAGAGGATAATGGCCCCTCCGCTTCATGCTTCTTTCCCAATTTCTTCTGCCTCAATAGAACCACTCGCCCTGCAAGGTCAGGCACTACCCCTTTTCTTCAGCATACACCCACGATTGAACTTGGTTTCCATTCTAGCCATTACAGAATATTGGTTCTGTTAGCAACATTATGTCAAACATTCAGTCATTCATGAATTGTTTATCAAAGTGTGTGGATTTTTTTTTTCTGTTGGTTTGTTTTCAGCATCTATACGTGCCAGGTACCATGGGATCTAGCTACGAACATTATGAGAATATCTCGTTTATACATGTTCATTGCTGGACATGGATGCAAATTGTCCTTGCAGAATCTTGTTGGGGAGATGACAGCCCAGGGAGAAACATTCAGAGTCCATTAGGGAGCTCAAAACAGGCGTGTGTAGGAGCCCTCACAGTGGGAGGTAGGCAATGGCAAGCCACACATTGCAGGGCTTGATACCTTGTTAAGGAGTTTGCCTTTTGTCCCAAGTGCTACACTGGGAACTAATGTAGCAACACAGGACTTGGTGTCAGAAGACCCATCTAACTGTTTTGTGGAGGATGGGTGGGGGATGGGGTTGGGGGCCCAAGAGTGGCAGCAGGGAGCAGCTGGAATAATAACCCTGTATGCTAATCCAGGCAAGAGAAGATGGTGGCCTGGCCTAAAATGGATATGGGGAATGGGGAGAAAAAGTAGGCTTATTGGCCAGAACATTGGATGTAGAATCAGTTAGCCTTGCCAATGGACTGGAAGAAGTTGAGGTGGGGAATCAAGAAGGATCAAGAATGACACCCCCTCACACACCATACCGCTTGAAGCTCTTCAGTGGCTGTGATATTATATATGACAGGTAATGGGGCAGGGTAATGGGGCAGGGCAGGTCCCAAGGGAAGAGTTCATCCCTTTATACCGAACAGTTTGTCCTGCTTACCACTATTTCCTCCAGCACTGGCTGCAGGGCTTGATGTTTAGTAAATATGCTCAAATATTTGTAGATTAATTCATTTAAAAATTTCAGTTTTAGACATGTTATGAGATAGTGAAACAGAATGGCTAAGGACATGGACTCTGGAGATAGGACTGCCTGAGTTCAAATCCTAGCTCTACTATTTTCTGAATGACCTTGGAAATGTTCTGCCACTGGTCTCAATTTCCTCATGTATACGATGAAGATAATAATTCTACCTACCTTATACTGGCAGTTGTAAGGATTACTAGTTCATTTCTGTAAAGCACTTAGAAGAGTGCTGTGCACCTAGCCAGCACAATGCAAATGTTAGCAACTGTCATTACTAAGCTGGATAGATGGAGATGCAAAGTTCAGAAGTCAGATTCTCAGGCTCCATACAGGCTTCAGGAACTGCAAAAAGTATTTTAAGAGTCATCAGCAAGTAGGCGGTATTTTAAGCTATAGGCCTGGATGGGATGAGGTGATGGGATGGGAGGTAGGGAGAGGAAAGGAGGGTCCAGGTCCAAGACAACCAATAGAGCATACAAGAGAGCCCAAAGAGACTAAGGGGTAGGAAAACCATAAGTACCTATGGCAGCTACCAAGCCTAGCGTAGTTCAAGGGGACCACAGTCAGGTAGTACCTTCAAGGCCAAGAAAAGACTGAAAAAAAAAATGCTCCCCAATTCTGACAATAAGACAGTGACCAGGATCTTGAGCACTTTCTGGAGAATGGCAAGGGAGGATGGAGAAGTAGGTTGAAGAGTGTGATAAATGTTGTATCTCTGCAGTGAAATTGCAGGAGCTTTGGCACAGACAAGTCCCATCTCCATGTGCTGATAGAAAATGATCTGTAAGATGTAGCAGTAAGTTTCACAGTAGCAGTAAGTTTCACAGGTGAGGGTCAGAACAGCCCGTGCAGGGCTCCCACTTCTGAAAATAACAAGGGCATGCCTAGGTACAAATAAAGTGTGGTGGGGTGCTCTCCAGCAGTGCTTAAGATATTTAAGGCACATACAAATATGTATGTATATTCTCCCCTACTTTGTCATTATACAGACACAAATTGTAACATACTATGCACACCTGTCCGCCTGTTTTTCTCTCAACAATAGACCTTAAGAGTCATTCCATAGCAGTATCAGAGCAGGTGCTTATCTCTAAAATAGCTACAGAATATTCCACTATGCATGTAACATCAATGTCATTGCTGGACACTTAGGTTGCTTTGGCTCTTATGTTGTTACAAAGCTGCAATTATTTATCCCCACATCTTAGAAAAACTTCAACAGTAACTGATTTTTAGAGGAACACCAGGATGGGCCGGCTTTGAGGAAGGTTTGACTCCCTAGGGAAGCTAAGATGGTTCACAAATTAGTTGCAACATTGTTAGAAAGTGGTTAAGTCATCACTTAAGTACAACGATCTACAAACTTTTTCATTGGGGTACTTAATGGGGGAGTTTGCTCGAATTTCCTGAGGTTCCCTGGGTTCCTGATAATGCATTTTCTGAGAGAGGAGAATGATATTTTGTCTGAAATTTGTAGATTTTCCCACAGGGATTAAATGGCATGCATGCCCTCGAAGCTTTTTTTTTTTTAATCAGAAATAAAAATCCCAAGAAGAATTTATTATCTTGATGGCTTTTCTGATGGTCTTGTAAATTGTATATTTAATCAAAAGCACTCGAATGTCTTTTTTTTTAACTATTGAAGAGCCATTTAAATGTCAACATAAGTGATTCCCTCCCAAATAGTGCTGTTTATACATTACTTCCCCTAATAGACCATAATGATTCATAAGGAGGCATTTCGCGCCTCTAAATTGCAGGCCTATTGAAATATAAATTAAGATGATAAATAATTTGACCTTACCTGAGAGTACTAAGTATTTACATGTGTCAAATACGAAATTATCCTGAATATCAGGGTCCCTAAAAAGGCAGCCGGCCTCTCCTGGCTGAGTTCAATAAATAAAACGGGTTTAGAAATTTCCTTTAGCGTGTGGAGGAAGGAGGGGCCTATACAAAAGAACAGGTCGGGAGACCCCGCCCTCCCGACTTCCCATTAGCGGGGGTGGGGGGCACTGAACCCCCTCCCCGGGAGTGCCAGGCGGGTGCAGGCCGCCCCCGCGCGCTCGGAGCGTTCACCTCTCCCCTCCTCCCGCAGCGCGGCTGGAGTTTCTAAACATGGAGTTTCCACAGGAACTTTGCCAGGCCGAGCTCGCAGCCCTCCCGGATCCCCGCAGCGGGATTCGCCAAGTCGGCGGCGCCGCGCGGCCTCCCGCCCCCACCCCCTCCAGGGAGCCGGTGACCTGGCGGTCTCCAGCCGCTCCGCAAAGTCGCTCTGCGGGGTTCATAACCTAGGAAGGAGCGGAGCCTCCCGGGCCCAGCGCCCCCGCCCGCCCGCCCCTGCCCGGGCCGGGGCCCGGGCCGCGGAGGGTGGCAGCTGGGCGCCCTCGGCGGGGCCCAGAGCCAGCCTGCCCGCTGGGCCTGTTTGTTTGCTGCCGCCTGCGCTCCGGGGCCCGGGGCTCGGCGAGCTCTCCGCTCCTCGGGCCGGGGCGGAGAAGCCGGGGTCGCCGAGGCGGCGACCGGGCGCAGGCCACGGCTGGAAGCTTTGGCCCCTCGCGCTGGGTTTTTGTTTTGTTTTGAAGCTGGGCGTGGGGGAGGGGCAGCACCTTGTCAATGAGAAATTTCCTGTTCGCAAGACTCCGCTTGCAGAGTTTCTGTCCTGCCCTTGAACTGACAAGTGGATCTCTGCAGCGCGAGCCCCTGAGAGTCCATCCAGCCGCGCCCGGCGCGCGCGGGGGTGGGGTGGGGGCACCGGCGCCGAGGCCCCGGGAGCCCGGTGGAGCGAGGCCGACGCCTGCTCTCCCGGTTCCCGGGCGCACCCGCGAGCGCCGAGCCGAGCGGTGACTAATCTGCGGCTCCGGGCCTGTTGGCGCGCAGCCCGGGCTCGCCTCCCGCCCCCTCGTCCCTCCTCCTCCCCGTCGTCCTCCCGGCCCCGCCGCGCCGAGCTCCGCCGAGAGAATCGCGCGGGCCAGCGCCGCCGCCACCGCGTTCCCGGGAGTGTGGGAAGCGGGTCGAGGCAGGCGGCTCTGGGGCCGTCTCCAGACGCCCTTCTTCGACCCATTCCCGCGTGTGCGTGTGTTTCCTTCCCCGTAAGCACTTTGATCAGCGTTTCCTCAGCGCCGCCGAGGAGCCAGGGCGAGCCGGAGCTTTTAACCCCCCCCCCCGCGTGCCGCCCCACGGTGGGCTCCGTGGGGAGGCGCCGCAGGGAGACTGGGCGACATGGGGGCGATCAGTTTGGTTTGGCAAGCCAGTTCTGGAGGAGCCCGACCAGATCCGAGGAGCTTGCCCAAGCGCAGCAGGCTCTCCCGGGGAGAGCAGGCCTCGAGGCCTGGGGCGGCTCGTTAATGTTCACGCCCGCCCCGGGGCCGTGCAGTAACCCGACCTGCCCGGCGAGGCGAGGTGCGGGCTTGAAAGGCCCAGCAGGCGGCGGCTGGGGGGGTGGGGGGGGCCGGGGACCCGCCCTTAACGCACCCTGCGGCTGGCTGGTGGACGGTTCTCCCTGCGGGGGCGGGGGGCTTGCGCTCGGCCCCCCGGACTCGGTTCTGGCCGCGGATCCCTCCACTGGCCAGCCCTAACCTGGGAGTTAATGATTGATTTACTGGCTCCGCGCGGCCGGCGCCCTCCCAGCTATTTGTCCAAACTGAGGAGTTGCTGGCCAGCAGCGCAAAGGCCGGGAGAACGGGGGTCGCCCGGGAAGCGAAGCCAAGCTACGACGGGGACGGGGCGGCTACTTGATTCCCTCCCTCCCCCCGCCCCACCCCCCGTACTGAGCGGCTCTAGTCGTGTCCGAGGCGAACCCTCCTGAAGGCCCGGGCCGAGCGAAGGGAGCATTGGGAAGCGTCACACGTAAACGGGTTGGCAGCTGGTGATTAGGCCGCCCGGTTTTATGAGTCATAATGGACCGCCCGCCTGGCCCTCAACCTGCTCGCTGTGGACTCGGCGCGCCGGGGTCCAGGCGGTGGACCGTTCCGGGCCGCTGCAGAGTGGGATGTTCTGGGGGGCCCGGGCCGCCGAAGGCGTTACGCAGGATTTCCTCTCATTTCTCGCAGAAGGCAACACAAACACCCTAAATCAAACCGCTCCGACAACCGAGGGCTCCACACAGACACATCAATAAGGATTTCGCCTCCCGCGTTCGAACGCACAGAAACACTTGTCCTATTTTTATGCAAATGACACCACACAAATAGATCTCACAGGCTCCGGAGTGGGGCGAGAGGAGGAGGGGCGCCCCCGCCCCAGCCTGGGGGCTGGGAGTGGGGAGGGAGTCCCAAGCCCGCTCCCCGGGACCCGCGCCGGCTCGGGCTGCAGCGGGGCTGGTACTGGCCTGGCGGCCCGCCCCGCGCGCCGTGGCTCCCTGCCAGCGCCGCCAAGTCGGCCGCGTCCCCAGGCTGCCTGCAGAGGCGGATTAGGGAAGGAGCGAAGCGAGCCTGTGACTAATCGCGGGGCCTCGGACCGGAGCACCAAGGCCATGTGCGACTGACAGGATCGACACTAGCAGAGGACACGGCGACGCCTCGCTTAATTGCAGGCTTAAAAAATTGCCGCCTGAGCAGCTCGGGTGCGGAGAGGCACGGCGTGGCGTGCGCGCTGGGCTGAGCAGTGCGCCAGAGGGGGGACTGAGACGTCGCCCCTGGGAGGGAGATTTGGCGTCTCTTGGGATCGGGGGACCTGATCCTCTCCCCACCCCCCCGCAGGGTCGCCCCACCCCGAGGGAGCACTGAACCTGGCTGAGCGGGACAGTAGAGTACGATCGCACTCCCAGGCCTAGGTTTCCGAACCTTCCCCCCACCCAAGGAACCCACTCTCCCCCTTCTGGGCCTAGATCCGATAAAGGAGGCTGTATAGTTGGGGGTGAGAGATTCCAACAAACCCTTAATATAAAACCGACACAAACCACCTCCTTCTCTTCGCTCCCTTTCCTTCTCCACTAGCTCACATACAATGCCTTGAGTGACCAAAGGCAGGGAGGTAGTCTGGGCTGCAAGGAGTGAGGTCAGCGAGTGCCAAAACTCGGGGCTCACAGACACGCACCGTGCTCGCAAGCCCTCTGGCCCAGACCTCCTGCTGGAGCCAGTGGTCTCGCTGGGGGGGGGGGGGTGGAGCAGGGGGAAGCGTCGGCCGGCCGGCTGGTCTGTGTGTGTAAGGGGAGGGTGGAGGGTGGAAGGCGGGGTGGCGGGGAACCCAGCGA